CTTCGCATGTCCTTGTGAACTTTAGAATCAGCTTGTCAATTTGTATACACACATACAAAAAAATTCTCCTCAGATTTTTATTGCAATTTCCTTGAATCTAAAGACCAATTTGGAGAAAACTGACATCTTAACAATATTGAGTCTTCTGATACATGAATACAGCATATGTGTGCATTTATGTATTTAGGTCCTCTTTAGTGTCTACCAGCAACATTTTATAGTTTTCATGTACAAGTCTTTCACATCTTTTGTCAGATTTATAAGTATTTCATATTTTTTATTGTATCAGTTTTGAATTTGAATTTCATTGTTCCTTGCTAGCATATAGAAACACAACTGGTTTTTGCATATTAATATTGTATCCTACATCCTTGTTAAATTCACTTATCAGTTCTAGTAGCATTTCTAGATTGTATATGATTTTCTCTATAAATGATCACATTGTCTAATCTACTTTTTGTCTTATTATACTGGCAAAGACCTTTAGCACAGTACTGAATGAAAGTGGTGCGAATGAACAATCTTGCTTTTGTCTAGTCCTCCATCATTAAGTACAATGTTAGTTATAAGTTTTTCATAGATGCCCTTTTTCAGGCTGAGAATTTCCAACCCTTGTTTCTGATGGGTTTTATCAAAAATGAACGTTAAATTTCTAGATGCTTTCTCTGCTTCTACAAATTTTCTTTTTTTAGCTTAATATGGTGAATTACATTGATTGGTTTTTCAAATGTTAAGCCAACGTGCTTTCTTGAAATAAATCCCATTTGATTACAATGTATTATTCTTTCTATATATTGCTGGATTTAACTTGCTAAAATTTTGTTTAGAGTATTTTCATCTGTGTTTATATTGGTCCATAGTTTCCTTTGCTAGAACTGTCTCTCTTTAGTTTTGGTATCAGGTTAATGTTGACCTCAAAATGAATTGAGAAATAGTCCCTCCTCTTCCATTTTTCTGGAAGAATTTTAATAGAATTGGTATCAATTTTTCTTTAAATGTAAAATTCACCAGTAAAGCCATTTGGGCCCGAATGGCTTGGGGGGAAGGTTTTATTTTTTTTTAATATATTTTATTGATTTTTTACAGAGAGGAAGGGAGAAGGATAGAGAGTTAGAAACATCCATGAGAATGAAACATCGATCAGCTGCCTCCTGAATACCCCCTACTGGGGATGTGCCTGCAACCAAGGTACATGCCCTTGACCGGAATCGAACCTGGGACTCTTCAGTCCACAGGCCGACGCTCTAGCCCAGTGATGGCAAACCTATGACACACGTGTCAGAGGTGACACGCGAACTCATTTTTTGGTTGATCTTTCTTTGTTAAATGGCATTTAAATATATAAAATAAATATCAAAAATATAAATCTTTGTTTTACTATGGTTGCAAATACCAAAAAAATTCTATATGTGACATGGCACCAGAGTTAAGTTAGGGTTTTTCAAAATGCTGAGACGCCAAGCTCAAAAGGTTCGCCATCACTGCTCTAGCCACTGAGCCAAACTGGTCAGGGCTGGGGGAAGGTTTTATACAGCAAATTCAACTTATTTAATTGATACAGGTCTATTCGGTAATTTATTCTTAAGTGAGCTTTGCTTTTTAAGTTTTTATTGACTTTTAGAGAGAGAGGAAGAGAGAGGGAGAAAAAGAAACAGAAACATCAATGTGATAGAATATTGGTCGGTTGCCTCTCATACACCACCTGACCAGGGAGTGAACCCACAACTTGGGCATGTGCCCTGAGCGGGAATCAAACCGGCAACCTTTCAATGCATGGGACATGCTCAACCAACTGAGACTCACCAGTCAGGCTTAAGTGAACTGTGATGGTTTGCATCTGTCAAGGAATGTCTTCCAAGTTATCAAATGTACTGACATGAAGTTGTTCATAATATTCCTTTATTCTCTTTTTTAATATCTGTAGACTCTGTAGTGATGTAATCTCTCTCATTCCTGACATTCCTATTGGGAATTTGTAATTCTTGATCACTGGTATCTTCTCATTTTCTTCCCTAAAGTTTCATCAATTTTACTGACCTCAAAGACCCAGGTTTTGGTATCAATGATTTTCTCAAATGTTTTTTTTTATTTTCTGTTTCACTGATTTCCACTCCAATGTTTATCATCTCCTTTCTTTGGCTTTTTTGGATTTCATTTGCTCTTCTTTTTCTAGGACAGGTGTTCAGTGCTTAAATTTCTCTCTAAGTATTGCTTTAGTTGTATCACACAAATTCCAATATGTTGCATTTTCATTTTATTCAATTCAAAATACTAATTTCTCTTCTGATTTCTTCTTTCACCCATGGGTTATTTAGATTGTTATTCAGTGTCCAAATATTTGGGGATATTCCAGAGTTTTCTATGATTGACTTCTAATTTAATTCCACTGTGGTCAAATAACCATATTATATGCAAGGCACTGTGAAGAGTGTATACATGCTTTTCATTTAATCATCTGGCTTCCCCCACAAAGCCAAATCTATAAAAAAAAAAAAAAATGAATAAAGAAAAGGTCAGGCTAAAAAAGTCTGCCACAGAGAAAAATAAGAACAACATAAGCCACCCTGGCTGGTTTGGCTCAGTGGATAGAGCGTCGGACTGAGGGGTCCCAGGTTCGATTCCGGTCGGGGGCATGTGCCTTGGTTGCGGGTTGTGCAGGAGGCGGCTGATCGATGTTTCTCTCTCATCGATGTTTCTGACTCTCTATCTCTCTCCCTTCCTCTCTGTAAAAAAATCAATAAAATATATTTAAAAAAAAAAAGAACAACATAAGCCTACAGGCCAGATAAGTAGGAAATAACAACAAAAATTAATCTTAATGCTGAAATATTTATGAATTAATTTATGTCTAAGATTTGCTTCAAAATAAGCCAGAGTAAGGGAGAATGGATAGGAGGAAAAATCAAAGGAGACTGGCTACAAACCCAGCTGGTGTGGCTCAGTGATTGAGCATTGACCCAGGAACCAAGAGGTTGCTGGTTCGATCCCCAGTCATGGTACATGCCTGGGTTGCAGGCTCAATCCCAGTGGGAGCCATGCAGGAGGCAGCCAGTCGATGATTTCCTCTCATCAATGTTTCTATCTCCTTATCCTTCTCCCTTTACCTCCCTCTAAAAATCAATAAAAATATATTTTAAAAAACAAGAGACTGGACACTTTAACTGAAGGAAGATGATGGGTTCATGATGCTTCATTACACTATTTTACTTTTAAGACATTTCAATTTTACCATAATAAAAGATTTGTTACAATTTAATATCAGTACTTCACTCAGAAAAACCTAGGTGAAAATAGTAGTCGCTTAAATGCTGTTCAAGAAAAAGAACTGGTAGCAGCGGCTTCTATGTGTGTGGAGAGAGCTTATAAATGAGAGATGACAAGTGTATAAATAGAATAAGTATGAGTCACTGGAGTTAGCCAAAGAAAAAAGCGTGGGCTTCAACTGAGTGAGCAGGTGACACAATTGTCCAGCAAAACAGAACAGAGTAACATACAAATATAAATATTCTATTTGTGACACAAAAGTTTCTCAATATACTTCAAAATTTCCTTCTCAGTTAATTTCATCTTTTTTTCACGGATACTGCCTCGCACACTTCCCCAAGATGAAGCATTTCCTTCATAACCAACACTGTCTTCAAAAATGGGCTGCTGTGTTAACTATACCACATAATGTATTCTTTCAGTTTCACCAGGCAATAAAGAAAACAAAGCTTCCTTTTAATGTGTGATTTCTTCTTTCATTGCCAGATGTAGTTTTATGAAAAGAATGACGCTGGAAAATTAAGGAAATGCACTAACCATGCTTATCATATCACAGGAAGAACAGCATGAGAACAAAATGTACCGGGTGCCGGCCATCCCAGTGAGCTCGGTGTTGGGGATACAGCAGTGAATACACAAGTCCCTGATGTCCTGGCCTTTCTGGGCATCTAAACCTCCACACCTACCCAGGCCATGAAGAAGGAAACAGAGGTCCAGAAAGGTTACATGCTTCCTGCCCGTGACTGCACACGTTGTGATGGGATGAGGGCAAAACCCGGGTCTCCGGACACACTCGCCGCGCAAGGTGCGCTTGCATTATGACTTGAACCGGTTACACTTTACATTACATCCACGGGTCCACAAATCATAGGTCCACGCCACTTCTAGCAAATGCATCCCGAAAAAAACAATCATGATAAAGCACAACCCGCCCTAGGCCCCCGAAGGGAGTCATCACTTCACTGCCATCGCTGCAAAAGACGAAGCCTTGCATGTAAAAGGCACTTAGTCTTGACAAGGGTGCCTAACCTCATCGAATAGATCGGTACCGTGTCCGGCTGAATATTCTACTATTAGGGCAGCAGGTAGTCCGTCTGGAATAGTCCCTACCTGGTAACTATTTTTAAAAGGTATCCTTTTGTAAAACAAAAAAAAAAATAAACGGAAAATGTCATGCAAAATTAATGACACTTCCGTAAATAAGTAAGAGCGTGGCCGGGTGAACCCACGGTCACCGCAGCGCGTGCCCGAGCACCGGCTCCTCCTCTCTAGCCCACGCGCCCTCGCGCCCACTCCGGGGTGAGGGTGCCGGCGTCTCCCGCTCAATTTCAACGCTCCCCCGCCCGGGGCCGCGGGCCGCCGGGGTTCCCAGCAGCGCGCGCCTCCGCGCATCAGTCACGCCCTCCAGCAGAGGTGAACCTTCGCTCCCGGCCCGCCCGCGCCCTCAGCCGGCCAGGCCCGAGGGCAAACGCAGGGCGGCAAACGCAAGACGACCCCGCGGCTCGCAGGGTCCGAGGCACCGCGGCAGCCACACCCACCGCCTGCGCGGTCACAGCTCCCGCGGCTGAGGCCCGCCGCGCCTGCAGGTGCAGCCGCCAGTTCGGCCCCGCCCCAGCCGGGCCGGGGTCCCAGACCTCCGCCTGCGCGCGCACCACCTGTCTGTCGGGCGATCCGCCCCGCTCCTGACGAGAGGCCGGCGGGGGCCGCTCGGGGTCCCGCGGGGATGAGAGCTTTACCGGAGAGTGGGCCCCACGCAGGCGGTGTCGGTGCTCTCGATCTCCTGCAAGATGCGCTCATGCTCTGGGACGTTGCCTATCCCCTCGCCGCTCTCCGCCATCTTGGCTGGCAGCTGGGGAGCCGGCAAGGCGCGCCCCCGGGCGGGCGGCGGGAGCTAGCGGCGCGCGGCCCGAGCGCAGGGGGCGGGGCAAGAGGCGGGGCGGGCGCGGGGACGGGGGCGCGCGTGCGCACCGCCCAGCCGGGGATCCGCGCACCGGCACGTTCCCCAGGCCACGAGGCTGCGCGGACGGCGAGGACGGGAGGCGGGTGCCCTCGCGCTCAGCCCCGCCACTTGCCCCAGTGGCGGTCTGCGACCAGCCCGCCTGTAACACAGTTAACATATATCCTTGTTCTCTGTGTGCCAGACCCGCTGCTGCGGCAAGTAGTCACCCTCAACCTGCAGGAAAAGCGACGGAAAAGTTTAACCAGGAGACCTGATGGGCTCTGGGCGGTGGAGAGTCAGAAAAGGGACAAACGTGCACTCCGGAAAAGCAAAACTGTGTTCGGGCATAATGTTTACTTTAGGAATGACCCGGGAAAATGCCAGCGGAGACCAGGACGGCCGCTCTGGGTGGATTTACGTCCCTGCCCACAGGAAGTTGGCAGAGGCCACTCAACTTGGAAGTAAATTATAAGCGCCAGGAAAATTAAATGACGGAGAAATGCGACACTTGATGGCAAAGATGCAAGAGGCGCCCAGGGGCAATGCTTGATTTCCTGCCAAAGTCCTTGAATCCGAGTGCCCCCGCGTTGCTGGGATGAGGATGGTGGAAGTCTTTGAGAGGAGAGGTCATCGGAGACAGAAGAGAGGGGCGGGTGGCTTGCGCGGAGGTACTGGGGTCCAAGAGTCCTGTTTAATGACGTTTGTGGGACGCTGAGTAAACCAGTTGGTCATGACTAAAGCAGACTGAGGAAGCTTAATCAGGAAGAGTGCACACCTAGCCCTGAAGGACAACTGTTTCCTGGCCTCCATTAATCCAGGGCGCTGAACTTCCCTTTGAGGCAACGAAGCCCTTTACTATCATCCAGCTGGGTAACGCAGCCCCGTCAGTGAGCTTTTCCCAGAAGCCTATCTCATCCTCCTCCCGACAAAATTCCTGGGAGGTGGTATATTGTATAACAGTTAAAAGCATGAGCTCTGAAGACAGGCATCCTCAATGTAATTCCTTGCACCTTCACCTCATTTCACAGCGGGGTGGCCTTGGGCAAGAACCTAATCTCTTTATATTCCAGTCTCCCCATCTGTAAATGACACTAGATGCAATTTAGCACATTTATCTATTCCACCAACAACTGTTTTAAGAGTTTGCACTTGTTTTGATGGGTTCCTTTTCATACATTTGGGAATTTTATTTGTTTTTGTACACTTGGCACCCAGGGAACCAAAATACCACTGACTCAGCACATGCAGGCTTGGAAGACCAAGGAAGCGCTACTATTGCCAGTTGCTCATTGTACCAGAAACCCCATCCCAAGCCTGTTTCCATGGTCTTGATGGCACAGAAGAATTCAGATCATCTCTGAGAAAAACCACTTTTTTTTGAGCTGCAAGAATATGCAAAAACAAACAAAAATCTCTTCCCAAGTTCACCAACAGTCACACCATGTTAAGGTCCTTACCTTCAGAGAGACTTTTTTTTTTTAATTTTGCAATTCCCGATAGTTCCTCATAGAGTTCTGCACATAGCTAAGAGAAAGCTGGAAGGGTTTTGAAACCAGACAATACTGAAGCTCTGAAGCCATTGGAAAGAGGTCAGGATGGGTTGGAAAGGAGCATTCCAAACAGGTCTGAGCATAAGGCAAGAGTTTGACTAATCTGTAATTGGTAACAATTAGAAAGTAGGACAATATCAAATTGTAAAAAGTTAATTTCCTCACACTTGTTCTTTACACATTGACATTAAATATAATATCATATAATGTGGCTGTATTCAGTAACCTTAATAGAAATCTGTAGCACTAATAGAAAATATTGCCTCAAATTCCCTGATGCCCACTTTAATAAAGAGCTTCAATGCAAGAAACAATATTTAAAGACTTTTGTCAGAAGATATCAACTTCATCCATTCCTCTGCTTATTTAAAATTTTACCCTTGGGTCAAGCCAAATCCCTCTATCCCAGTGTTTTGGCCCTTCCTGCCACTGATTTTTATTTAGTAAAAAACAATTTTTTTTTCTTAGCTGATTGCCTTTCCAATTACTGGGGCACCATCGCCTGGTGTTAGCACATCTGAATTGCAGGTTCAGCTCTTGAGAGAGCAAAATAAACTGTTTGAAAATTGAAACTGAAACACAAGAAATGAAGACAAATTTTGTACCTTGCTATAAAGAGAATAGAAAGCCAGTTGCCTCTGCAGGAAATGGCAGACTACCCTAGCTAAGTTGATGTGCACGGCCAAAATTCATGGCTCTGAAGAGGAAAGCAAGGTGAGAAGAATGGGGCATATGGCACGGGGCAGCTTCTTATTGGGCACCTGTCTCCTGACGGGGCATTCCTTTCCTGAGCACTCATTACCCAGACCACTCCCCCTTCTCTTCACCAGTCCTGCCACCATCTATCCAGCTCTAGATGCCCCTGTCCTGGGAAGCCAGCCCTGCTCATGCACTCCTCACTCCTAGCCTGTTTCAACACCTACCCATAGAGATTGCCTCACCAGAAGAAGCAGTATTTTCCCTGCAACTCAAGAAGGGAGGAAGTCCATATACCACTTCTCCTTCTGAAGCAGCTTTTACTGGTTCCCTTTGTGACTTCTGACAGTTCTGTTAGTACCTGAAGATTTTTGCTAAGATTAAAGCTTACTATCCTAAATAACTGTGTAAATTTTAACCATGGACATAGATATAACAAATGTGTCCCCCCCCCAAAAAAAGCCTGTTCTAAAGTGATACATTCCTAAAGGCTCTAAAATTAAGAATTTCAGCTATAGGCCAAAATGAAAGCCATAATGGCTATTTATTGAGCACTATTTGCTAAGCCCTAAGACCTTTATATTATCTAATTTAGTCTTTGCTAATTGAATTAGTACTTTAATTGGTAATTAAGTTAGTACTAGTTTTATTAAAATCTAATTTAAATCCTGTGGGGTTGGTACTTTTACTATCTCCGATTCAATCTGAAGTAACTGAGACTTACAGAAATTAAGTCACTTGTCCAAAGCCACACAGCAGTGGGTTGGAGAAGATGGACCTATTAACCAGTTCCTGCTTTTCTCTTTAGTTAAAAAGTGAGCCAAGAAGAATGTTCCGAAGTTGTTTTACCCGAGGAATAGCTGACTTAATCAGTCTGGTCGGAGGAGGTTGGACAGTAGGAGGGCACACACGGGCAGACTGCACCTGCGTGTTGAGTTCTTTTTCAGGCAGTGGGTGCTGACTTCCAGAGATCCACCCCAAATCTCTCCTCAAGGACTCTGGCAGGGGAAAGACACACCGGGAAGACTGGCAGGGCAGGAGATGCATTCTGTGTCCAATATGAAACGAACCAGTGAATTAAAGATTTCACCTGCCAATTAACTCTTAGTCATGAAGTCGCTTGTCTTCAGACTAATAACCAACCTTGGGAAAGCCCTTCCCTAAGAAGGAGGCTGTCGAAGGCAGCTGCCCTGGCATTTAACTGCTTGGGTTGGAATTCCAACTCATCTTTTACTAGATGTTGGGCCTTTGGAGAGTTACTTAACTTTTGTAAGCCTCAGTTTCTTCAAATATGAATTAGGGACAATAATAGTTCTTGGTGCACCAAGCTGTGTGGTGATTAAAGGAGGTAATATATGTGTAATGTTTAGCCCAGAGCTCAATCAACATTAGCACTGAAGACTAGGATTATCAGGCACTTATTATTAAACCAGGAAGCCCAGAATTTAGCTTCCTCCTGATAAAATAAAAATAAAACCAACACATAAATGTTCTTTTTTTAATCATTAACAAAATATCCTAACTTTGTGTCAAGGTTCTCTGAACCTGAACCTCATTTTTGCTGCATGCTCAACTGATAGAAACTGCCTGAAATTTGTTTTCTATTGTGGAGGAGGAATGGGTCCATGCCTTTGGGTTCCAGGGGTGGGCAAACTTTTTGACTCGAGGGCCACAATGGGTTCTTAAACTGGACCGGAGGGCCGGAACAAAAGCATGGATGGAGTGTTTGTGTGAACTAATATAAATTCAAAGTAAACATCATTACATAAAAGGGTACGGTCTTTTTTTTTTTTTTAGTTTTATTCATTTCAAACGGGCCGTAGTTTGCCCACGGCTGGGTTAGACTCTTGGTTCCTGATCCACTTTAGTGAACCTCCCAGATCTTGCTTCTAAGTCAAGCACCTCTTTGTGGTCCTTGGAAGTAGTGCTTATCCTTTGAGGCACATGTGGTGGTAAATAAATCACGGGTCTGTCTCCATGACCAGGCACAGAAACAGTGTCTGTATTGTTTACTGCCCAGCCCAGCTAATAGCTGTTAAATGAATGATCTACATGCAGATACTTCTGACGTTAAGCTCAATGTTGCAAACACATGTTTCATGAGATAGGGTGCAACTGTACAGAAAGATTCCCTTCCCCATTCCTGGAAACCCTGTAGCTGACTTCCTGATCTTCAGCTTCTCAACACTGCTAATATCCTTCAGATGTTTCCTAAATGGTTTCAGAGCCCTCATTGTATAATTGTAAAACTGTGCCAAAATGTAAAGTACAGGCAGTCTTTATACATTGACACTAATACTAGTAAGCTAACCCTTTCTGCGGCCTTTTAGCCACTCTTTGGGAATGTCTTGACAGCAGCACTCCTCAGCTTCTGCCTTGTTGGTGCAGTGACACCAAGTGGCCACACTCTGCAAGTGCAAGAGAGTATCAGCAGAGTCCAGGGCAGGCCTGGGAGGACTCCTGCTGTAAAACTATATCCAGGAATCTGTTGTCCCACAAAGATCCAGATCCCACGGTGGAGAACAATAAGAGGAAATTTGAAATTGAAGCCAAATAAATTCAGTTTCTCTTAAATATGATCCAGTCTCAGAGAAGTTCAAATATAATTAGCCCTGGATCTGTTTATTCAGCAACCATTTCGTTGAATGATTGCTTTTGTGGCAGGCTCTGTGCTAAGCTCAGACAGGAATGGCTCATTT